AAAGATTCCATCAGCATTGCATCTGAAAAATCCTGCAAATCTCTTGGGAAGACAGGCAGACAAACATCAGCATTCTGAAAAAATCAAAAGACCACCAGCACTGAAGCAATGATTCTCCACCATCAACTTCGCTGGACTGGCCACATTATCTGAATGCCCAATTCCTGTATCCCAAATCAGAAACTTTAATTTCATCTCAATAATGAAAAATGGCATGTTGATGGACAGCAAAAGATAGTCTTAAAGCAAACCTAAAAATGTGAAATAAACACCGAGACCTGGGAAGCCCTAGCCCTAGAGTGTTCTAACTGGAGGTCAGCTGTTGCCAACAGTGCTATGGTTTTTGAAAAGGCATGAATAGAGGGAGAAAGGGAGAAACATGCCAAGAGAAAGGTGGATCACGCAAGCTCCTGTCGGGACCACCTTCCATCTGGAAATATATGTCCTCATTTTAATGTCCATGCCAATCCAGAATACAGTCACTTAGAGGCCCATTACTGCAGTCACTTAGAGACCCATTGCCAAGACTTTACTCTTGGAAGAATATCATACTTGGCCCTGAATGATTGCATATGATAAAGTAAAGGTAAAGTGTTTCCCTTGACATTAAGTCTAGTCAAGTCTGACTGTGGGGGAGGGGGTCCTCATCTCCATTTCTACGCCAAAGAGCTGACATTGTCTGCAAATGTCTCCTAGGTCATGTGGCTGGCATAACTTCATCGAGCACCGTTACCTTCCCGACAAAGTGGTACCTATTGATCTATCCACATTTGCATATTTTCAAACAGTTAGGTTGGTGGAAGCTGCGGCTAGCAACAGGAGCTCACCCTGTCCTGTAGATTTGAACCTCTGACCTTCTGGTCAGCAAGTTTTGCAACTTAGTGGTTTAACTCACTGCACTACCATGGCCACTACATGGGGAATAGAAAATATCAAAAACTTGACAGTTAAACATTAATAATTTCAGCCAATTTACATAACTTTACAACAAACAATGAAGACATTAAATTGTTCAAGATTTTCCATGCCTTGGTTCAGTCATTCATTAGAATGGCATCAAGAAATCAGAAGATGACTCAGACTAGACTAGGGCTGGAATGGTAATTATGAAGGAATGTCCTGAAGTCTCACGACATATCATTTGCTACTAAATTTAGGATTGTCCACACCATCTGATTTCTAAATTCTATTATTTAGAACGGTGGAAGATGGACATTGAAGAAAGCAGAAAGGAAGAAAATAAACTACTTTGAAAGAGAAGAGTTCTTTGGATATTGTGGTTTGCAGAAAGGACAAACATATGACTCCTTGAGCAAATAAAGCCTGAACCCGCCCTAGAAGCCAAGATGACTAAACTGAGATTGTCATAGTTTGGACATATAACAAGAAGACATGGCTCACTAGAAAAGACAACATTGCATGGTAAGGTGGAAGGCAATAGGAAAGGAGAAAGACCACATTACAAATGGATAGAGTCACTCAAGGAAGCCACAGTCCCAAGTCTATAAGACCTGAACAGGACTGTTGACGATAGGGTGACTTGGATTTCTTTCACTCACAGGGTCACCATAAGTCAAATTTGAATTGGTGGCAATTAACCACAATAACTTTAGGAAGAGATAACATGGGACTTACAGTGCTCCATACTGCCACCATACTTATAAGACTTAAGCAGACCTACTACCAAGTATCAATTTAGGCAATTCCTGTACTATTTCTGTTACTGTAGAAGCCAGTCAGTTTTACGGGATTTGAGGAATCAAAAGATTTATTTCTGTTTACCATTTTACACTAGTAGCTAATTATATTAGGTATTTACTTCAACAGAAATGTATTTACTTTTGTTGTAATGTAAGCAAATGAGAGTTTGAGTGGAAACCTATGTGATTACTATACATGGATTTCATATATCATTGTGTCATCTTCAGAAATGTCGTCTCCACTCTAGTCTACATTCCCTCATGTTTACCTCAAACAAATAATTATTATATTACATTAACATAACTTCAAAGTACTCAAGCCGTCAGTAGTGTCAGAAATTACCATTTTACCTCTGTGTCAATCTTTGCCTCCAGCCTTCATGTAACCAGTCATTCAGCAAATTACTTTATGAGTTGTTGGAAGGTCAGGATAAATATCACATAGTTTTTCAAGAAGAATCATGTATATTTATGCTAAGTGTTATGTGAAAGCCTATGGTTAAACATCCACGGATGTAAACCATAACAGTAATCTAGTTCAGCTACATTAAAATCCAGGACATGTTTACGTCACCTTTCAAATTCCTCTTGCTCACTGACCATCATATTACTGTTTCACTCACCGAAATCGGCACTGACAGAACTCTTGCTGGGCTCAAAGTTTGCAAAGTGACTGAAGTACACAATTTAAGCATGGCTTACATGGTTTACTTGTTGGTTTGAAGAAACCTGCTGTACTGGAACAGAATTCACCAACAATACGATCAGCTATTCAGCACTGTTCCCCATTCTTACTCCCTTATTCCTCAGGATGCGCTTTTACTATGTTCATCAGTAAGTACTGAATAACTGTATGACTCCACTTCTTAATGCACTGCTTGAGACCTTTCCCCCTTCCCCCTACTGATTTGGACATGTAACAAAGCTGCCTGGTTGCTATTCCCCCGCTGTCTCCAGGTCCAAGGGCAAAGAAAGTGCCAGCTTGACAGTTGTCTTTTAAGTACTGAAAGATGTGTTGCCCGTTTCTTGGCAGTGCTCAGGCAAATGTAGAAAACGTAGCAAAAATGTTCCCAGAAGATCCATTGTTGCCGCATAGCACGCACCACCAGCAATGACAGTAAAACTATCCATTTGCCAGAACTGAGAGGCACATATTCCTTTGGTGCTTCCAGAGAAATTCACGGACAGCACAGAAAATTCTAAATACACAAATGCGATTAGTACTCTGGCACAGTTATACAGGAAGAAGATGCATTCAGTCAAACACTGTACTTGGGTGTTTCTTTTAACTTTAAGATCACTAGGTACCCACGGCCACATCCCAGTTCATGGGAACCCAGCAAGTGTTATACTGGATCAGTCTTCTGCCATATCCTGCCTCTGACAATAGGCAACAGCTTACACACTGCAGGAGACACAATGCCAAAACTAAGGGCTTATTTCATGGAGCACAAGTGTACTAGCTTGATATCCCTCTGACTGCAGTGGCTGTATTCAACGAATCCTGAGATTTGTAGTTTAGTGAGGCACTAGAGCTCTCAGGCAGAGAATTCAGAATACACCAAAAACCATAAAATCAAAGGACTCGCTGAAATAGATAGTCAAGTGGCATCAAAGTGTTATAACTGTGTAGAGAGAGAAAAAAGACTCCAAAGTGACTTTTGGGGACTTTTTCTAAATCTGGAACTAGATTTAGGTATTTTTTTGCTCTTTCCTTCAATGTGCCCTGAAACTCATCAAAATGAGAACTCCTCATTTTAGTGGGACTTCAGTATGGCTAACCTGACTTAAGTACATTTTAAATGACTCAAGCAACATACAGACATTTTTCAAGTCATCTCCATCTAGATCAGTGGTTCCCAACAGGTTGGCTATGGCCCACTGGTGGGCCACGAGACCTAAAACAAGGTCCGTGGCTCTAGATTATTAAATATGGTTTTCTGTCGGTGAGCAGATGGTGACTACTGGATGGCATATGTTCTGTATCAGAAACTAAAGCTGATGTGATCTGTATAATGCAAGTTTCTGAATCAGCACCCCAAATATCCAAACCGAATTTAAAGTTGACCAAAAACTGATTCGTAACACTTTTGGTGCTAATGTTGGAGAGTGGTCCCTGGTCAAAGTGGTCCCTGGTCAAAAAAAGTTTGGGAACCACTGATCTAGATCTACATAATTTCATCAATGTTGTGATCTTATGTGTGTTTTTGGAGATGCTTAAAGAGATGTGGATCAATGACAGCAAATCACCTAAGAATGTCAATAATATAAAACTGTAATAAATTTTAAAGTGAGATCCCAGTTATAAAAAGTAAGAAGTAATATATATTTCTCTTTACATCATAAGTATACTATATTAGTATCCCATATTATATTAGGATATACTAAGTAATACATTAATTGTTCTGTGTAGTGGTTTGATGGACTAAGGACCTCATCATATTGATGAGGTCCAGCATTCCGATTTGCCAGCCTCCGTAGTGAATTGGGGGCAGTGGGGCAATCCTTGTGCCCTGTGCTCTACCTCAAAGGGAAAGGCTAAGAAAACCCTGTGGTGTGGTCATCATAACCTGGAAATGACTTGAAGGCAACAATCATTACAACTGCTCTTTACAACAGGCACTAATATTCATTTCTCCTTATAGCAGGTCTCTTTTATCATTTATTACTTTTTAAATGTCTATTTCCTGCAGATGTTTTAAAATGATAAAGGGCAAAGTTGGTACCTACAATAGCAAAATGGAGCAGATTGTGTAAAGTCCACTGCTGTTTTTATAACCCTTAGGAGATATGGGGGATAGGTGACAAAAGCTGCAAAAACCTTCCATACAATTTATTAATAGGTAGTTTCAAAATCACTTCCAAGTAACTCTAAATAACAGATAGTGTAAAACTATCACTTCCCTGTTCCCTTAACTTTAAACTGTGATGACTCTCCTGTTAGGCCAGATGTGAGCAAAGTATGGTCCCCCAGATGTCATCAGACTGTAACTCTAAAGCATTTATCATTATGGGTTATGTTAGCTAGGGCTGGTAGCAATATCTCAAGGGCCACTTTTGCAAAATCCTATGATATGCCAAAGATTAATCTCAGGGATATTTTAATATCCACTTAAATGTCACTAGACTAAGACTGATTTTTTTCTGGGCTCCATCAGAAAAGTATGCAAAATATATTTCAGTATAACTAGTCCAATGGATATTTCAGTATAACTAGTCCAATGGAATGCTATAGAAACAAACTGTGTTATTAATATTTGTATATATTGAACCAAAATTCTTATATATAATATTATTTACCTTTACTGTATCCAGAGGATGTCCCACAATTACAGCTGCAGCTCCTGAAGATTAAAATAAATTCACTGCATAAAAGCAAAAAATTCCAAAATAAAATATTTTGTTCCTAATTTCATGGGAAATCTGCCATCTCAGCTAACCACATCTCTGGCAAGATAGAGGAAATAGTGTGACTCAGGGCCTGTCCAAACAGGACCTTTATTGCGGTATCTACCACAATAAAGGAGGGGCTGTCCAGACAACATTATGAACAGTCCCAAATTAATTTGCTGGTTTGTATTGAATTAATTTGATAGTGAATTTATTCCACGCCTTCTTAGAAGGCGTGGGATAAATCCACTATTTCCGGTTCTGGACTGCAGAATACTGCAGTTCAGACAGTATTCCCACAGTTTAATGGGCTAAATAAGCCCGGTAAGCTGTGGGAATACTCACCTCTCCCCCCAAACCCAAAGACCCTTAGAAAAATAATAAAAACTTACCCAGTCCCCATTGCAAGSTTCGGATGGCCCTCTCAGCATGTAGAAATGATGCGCCAGGAGAGCGGGAGGGGGGAGAGGGAGGAAAATCACCCCCCCCCCCAACACACACACACTCCCCTGGTCCTTCATTTCCACAAGCCGGGAGAGCTGGTTGAGGCTTGCAATAGAGGCCACATAAGGTTTTGGTTTTTTTTTACTTTTCTAAGGGGTCTGGGGGCTTGGAGGAAGGGCCTCCAAATGTTATCTCGGGCTTATCCCAAGAGAAGTCTGGACACTCACCCCAGAAAGTGTGTGCTTTCTACAATAGGTGTGGACAGGCCCCCAGGAAAATCTGTGTTTTTTAAAATGCACATTCTCCTGGGATAAAGGTTTGTCTGGATTTATTTATTTATTTATTTATTTATTT